GCCTATTTTGTTACTTTATGTTCCCCAGATGAATCCAATCTTTTTTATGTCTGTCCCTCTCTTTCTGACTCATTTTGCTTAACATGATACTTTCCATGTAGTACCACATGTATGTAAATTTCATGACTTCATCTTTTCTAATAGCTACATAGTACTCCATTGTGTAGATGTACCACAGTTTCTTTAACCAGTCATCTGTTCTTGGTCAGTCAGTTTTTTTTTCAGATTCTGGCCATTGTAAAGAGTGCTGCAATGAACAAACAAGTGCAGATGTCACGTCAACTATACTTTTTTGCCTCTCTGAGATATATTTCCAGGAGTGGTATTGCTGGATCAAATGGAAGCTCAATTTATAATTTTTTGAGACTTGTCCATACTGTTTTCCAAAAGGGCTGGACCAGTTGGCATTCCCACCAGCAGTGGAGGAGGGTCCCTTTCTAGCCTATGTTTCGATTCTTAAAGCAGACATAGATTATTAATGTTGAATATAGACAGCAAACCAAAAGTTTAAGGAGTATCAAGATCTGCCAATCCTTACATAAGGTTTCATGACCATTTTATATAGTTGCCTACACATAGGTGATGTATCACATCAGAAGGTACACCCCACAGAAGATACCAGAGGTACCTTTACAGCTTCTTTAGAAAAATACATGAAACTGTACATCTTCTAAATATATTGAAGTAATATTGATTTATAAGTTTATGTAAACTCATAGTAAATAGTTTTGCAATTTGGCATTTTATTACTACATTCTGTTCATCACCCAAATTCAAGTTTCTTTCCACCAATTGATATTTTTACCTGCTTTACTTGTTCTTCAAAACCCCTCACATTATAATAAACATAATTGTGTTTTTTAACTGTTTCTGTTTTGCTTCTTTGTATTTGCTTTATTTATCTTCTACCTATTAGTTAAATCTTACGATGTTTGTCATTCTCTGTCGTACATCACGTAGTATAATCAAGGTCACATGTTGTTGCAAATGGCAAAATCTCATCTTATATTTAATGAGATATTTCTCTGGGCGGTAAATATATATAACATATTTTTATCCTTAGTACCCCCTATTTTGTTTACATGTCTGTTATTATAAATAATGCTGCAGTGATCATGAGAATTCACATATATTTTTAAATGACAGTTTTTGCATTCTCTGGATAAATAACCAAAAGTGGAATCATTGGATCATATGGCATTTCAATCCTTAGTTTCTATATTTATAAATTGTATAGGAGGGTACCCTTGACTCCACAGCATCACCAGCACTTGCTGTTTCTTGTCTTTTATGTATCAGTCATTTTCATGAGTCTGAAGATAATATTCCATATTTTGATTTGCATTTCCCTGAAAATAAATGATGATTATAATATTTTCTTGATGATAATGGATTTCACAGGATGTCAAAAGATCATGTGGCAGCCCACCTATGATGATGGTCAGACTTCTTCGTCAAGACCCTGAATGATCGGTTTGAGGCTCTTCATTTTCCTAGAAAGAGCAGATGCCACTGGGCTACATTAGCACGCAACAGGGATGAATGGAGACGTTACTGGTGCCTGCTCGAGCGAATCAATGAGTACTGGGATGTCAAGTGATCAAGTGATAATATTTTCGTATGACTATTGAATATTGTATGTCTTCTTTGAGAAAATTTTTCTCCTTAGCTCCTTTGTTCATTTTAACATCGAGTTATAGTTCTATATCTGGATATTAGCTCCTTATAGGATATACAATTTACAAATATAGATTCAGTAAGACATGTTTTGTTTTGATGATTTTTTTCATTGTGTAGAAGGATTTTAGTTTGATAAGTCCACATGTCTATTTTTTCTTTTATCTAACTTTCTTGTTGAAGTCAAATCCTCAAGGACATTATTAAGTCCAATATCAAGGGGCATATGGCTGATGTTTTTGTTCAAGGTACTTTACTTTTCCAGATCCCTTTCATTTCACCAATAAAAACAGTAGTTTAAAAACATGACTAAAAGTACTACTCTAATCAATACATAAATATGACATACACTTTTCATTATGATTATTGATGTTTAAAATAATGATAGAATTAAAAAATGTTTTAACAGATCAACAGTGACCCAACAGCGTGTGTTTGGGTCGCACTTGGTGACCTTATCCAGCTCTGTGCTGAAGGTTAACTACTGGTGGTGGTCGGATGAGCAAGTAGTACTGAATATAGACTTGGGATAGCCACATGCAAGTCAGAAGTCTTAACTTTTGACTTTAACTCTTTAGCCCAAAAGATTCTTTAGATCAAGTTCTTTGGGTTTTAAAGTTTTCCCATTATCTTTTTGTTGTTATTTTGGGTTCATATGTGGCAGAGTGTAGTGTTTACTCCTGGCTCTGCACTCAGAAAACACTGCACTCAGGCTTGGGTGACCACAGATGGTGCTGGAATTAGACCCAGATCTGTGTGTGAAACTCAAGTGACCTACCTACTGTACTATACTTTGCCCCTCAAAATTTTTTTCAAGTTATAAAGTACACTGCTAACTACAGTAAGGAGGTAATTCCTTCATCTGTGTTCCTAACTTTAAAGTTTTTAATATTGCTTAACTATGGCCCTCCCGTTGATCGTCAATTTGCTCGAGCGGGCCCAGTAACGCCTCCATTGGAGACTTTGTCGTTACTGTGTCTGGCATATCGAATACTCTCGGTAGCTTGCCGGGCTCTCCGAGAGGACAGCGGGTAGGGTGTTCGCCTTACAAGCGGCCAACATGGCCGACCTGAGTTCGATTCCTCTGCCCCTCTCGGAGAGCCCGGCAAGCTACCGAGAGTATTCGATATGCCAGACACAGTAACAACAAAGTCTCCAATGGAGACGTTACTGGGCCCGCTCAAGCAAATTGCTTACCTATATTGTAACTATATTTGGAAGTAATGGAAATTTTATTTTCAAAGGTTACTGAGTAAAATTATCAGTTTATAGTTTATCAGTATAAGTGAACTAATGCTGCTTTATACAAATTAGAATATGATACAAATTGTAATATAAATGCTATTGTTCCAAGATTGCCAGTCCACATTCCTTGGAAAAAATATATACTTAATATGCAATATTAACATATATACTTAATTTTACAGCTCTTTATTTACAGTTCATAGGTAAAAGTTCAATGGCAACCTCCACATCCAAGATAGTAAACCCAATTTTATTCAACTCTACAGAAACCTGAGCTTATATATATTCCACATTCCCATTTCCTAGTTATTTCTGCTCTCTGATTGGTTATGTTCTATGTAGGTGAAGATTTGTGAAACTGACCAATCAAATCATATATGCCCTTGTGCAAATAAAATTGTATCAGATGATGAATTGACTCACTTATGTTCTTATGCAAATGGGCTGGAGCATTAGCACAGTGGGTAGGGCGTTCGCCTTACAAGCGGCCAACATGGCCGACCCGAGTTCGATCCCTCTCGGAGAGCCCGGCAAGCTATCAAGAGTATTCGATATGCCAGACACAGTAATAACAAAGTCTCCAATAGAGACGTTACTGGGCAAATCGACGATCAACGGGAGGGCCTTTACCTTTACCTTTACCTTTAACATGATCAATTACAGGTCTTGATATTTTGTCCTCTCCCTCCCTCCTCATTTTCTTTGTCAAAATGACACTTATCAGATGAAGTGATGGGAGAATCCTCAATGGTAAATTTTCAGTGGTACATATCATTGCCAAGAAAATGTACTATTAGAAATGATGTAAATGCTTGACTTTTTCAGTTTGGGGATTTTTTTGAAGAAAAAGGTTTTTTTTAATGCATTTTATAAATCAGCTTTATAATTCTACAAGTTTTGACTAAGAAACATAGTCTTAGGAATTTATTCTAGCATAGGGACCTTTCATTTATCTCATGTAATCTTCTAAAGTGGAACAAGTGATGTATAGATGCTTTGCTGCTTTATATTATGTTTTATGTCTTTAATAATTGTTAAATATGATTGCTATATACAAAAACCCATGAAACTTGCAAACTTCTACCAAGTTTAATTTTGTAAATCTGAAATAATATTGGAAACTTCATATAAAATAGAAAATATTGCAGGAAATGCCTTTTGTTACCTTAAAGGGAGGTTCAAATTTAAACTTCTGGACACCAGTGCAACAGTACAACTGGTAGTTTGTTTACCTTGCACATGTCTGACTTTGCTTTGTTCCCTGCACTTCATACGAATGAATCCTGAGCAGAACCTGGAGTAAGCCCTGAAAACTTTGGGTATGCCTCTTCCCTCCAAAACAAATAAAACAGCAACAATAATGAAAATATACTAAACTTCTAATAGTACAATACAAAGTAACTATAAATGTATCTTAAATCTTATGTACTAGTCTTGGTCTTCCTACAATATCACTAGATCACTGTGCTCCCATTGTTCATCAATTTGTTGGCATATCGAATACATCACGGGTAGCTTGCCAGGCTCTGCTGTGCGGGCGAGATACTTTCGGTAGCTTGCCGGGCTCTCCGAGAGGGGTGGAGGAATCGAACTTGGGTCAGCCATGTTGGCTGAGTGCAAGGCAAACGCCTTACCACTGTGCTATCGCTCTAGCCCTTCCAACAATATGTGGTGACTATTTGAACATTCCATGAATCAATAGCTCCCATCCCTTCAAAGTTTCTAGTAAGATAGCTAAGGATATCTGTAGTTGTTGTTGTTAAATACAACTTGTTATTGTTTTCATTTTTTGTTTTTTTTTATTGTTTGGACACACCTGGAGATGGTCAGTGACTGACCATAGGTATTTGGGGTGATGTCTCTGTGCTTAGGGGTGACTCTTGGTGCATTTTGGTGGATCATAAATAATACCAGGTGTCAGTCAGCTATGTGCAAGGCAAATGTACTTTTCAATGTACTATATCTCCACTCCCTTCAAATATAATTTCTAACTAGGAATTTAAATCCAAAAAGTTCTGTTAAAGGAGAGAAAACTGAAGTGTGTGTGTGTATGTGTGTGTGTGTGTGTGTGTGTGTGTATTAGTAGCAATTCTTAGTGTCCAACAGAAACCAACCTGTCTATTAACCAGTATCCCAATTGCAGAGCTTCTATTACTGATAGGTAAGTACATGGTTTACTCACCATCATCGGTGGTCAAGAAATATGGAAGAAAGCGGCACACAAATTGCTGCGATTGAGGCAGTTATGCTTCAGCTTCTTCTGGAAAATACTCTTTCTGGAACTCTGGAAGGTGAACTAGGGTACCACCAACCCTGTATGGCTCCCAGAGTGCAGAATTCAAAATATTTTATCATGCCTTTTGCTAAGTAACACATCAGCATGGTGTCTTTTAGTCTTCTAATGTTGCAATTCAAAAAGTATCAGGATCCATCAAACCAACGTGGTCAAGGTTACACAGAAATAAATTCCGGAACAAAGATTGAACCTCCCAGATGTATGTGAATGCTGAGAATGGCTATTTAGCAGAGCACATGAAAGTAAAGACATAACTATGGGCTCTCACACCTAAAACATGCTAACTCATATATTTAACTTTGCATTTTCTTCATTGATATTTCAATCCTAGAGTTATTTATTGCTTCTTATATCATTTTATATGCTCCCAAAATACTTCAATTGCTGGTTAGATGTGGAAAATGAATTTCTTGAAATTTACATTCTATTGTAAGAAACAAGCTAACAGAGAAAAGAAAAGCATCAGTCCAAAAGGGCTTGAAGAGGATTCGATGAACAACAGGATGATTGTGATATCGTGATCATGATTCAAACACCAATACCACCACCATTGCACCTTCCCATATTTCAAATGTTTCCACCCAAATCCCAAATAGTGTTCCCCAAAGCAGAACAAAACAATTAATTTTGTATTGCTTGTTGTGAATAAACTGCTAAAAATGGTTCAATAATGTTTCCTTAAAAGAAAGTGTGTGAAGATTGTTGTATTTCATCCTGGATTCATTAAGCCTTTATATGGGAGATTACTAACATAATTTGTTAAACCCAATCAAATGTTGTGTACTACTCTTGCTACATCAGTGGTGTAGAGTATGAGAGGTTGCTCCTGGAATTCTAAAATTTAGAATAGGATTATACAGCAGGTCTTATGGGCGAGGCCTCTGTTGCTCTCTTCTGAGAGCTTTATTTCTGAGTCTCTGGGTCACGGCTATTGATAACGTTATATGGGGTTGGGGGCAGTTTGTGGGTTTGACTGCCAGGTTACTGGTAAACTTGGGAGATGCGGGGAGGAGGCCCATTCCCACTCCAAGCAAGCTTGGAGAGTTCAGTCATGGGTCCCTCATACCTGGGTTTTTCTGCAGATTCCCTCTTGGATAAGGCTCCTGGAGCCTGTGGAGAGTGGTCATGAGCATGGCGGCAGTTGTGTTCTGGAGGTTTTCAGCTGCAGGAGCTCTGATCGGAAAATTTTTTTTATAACTATATTTAAGCATAACTTAGTTTCTTTTGAAATTTTACACATTTCACTTAAAAACAAAATTCTGAGAAGGATTTAAACACAAAAACAGGTAGAGACAGTCTTGAGCAAGTCATGGGGCAATATTATGAAATTGAACATGTATAAGACAACAATTGAGAATTAAGGATTGAATGAATTAGGCTTTGATAAATTGGTGGGGCCTTAAACTGAAGGGAAAATTCATAATTTTCAACAGATCACTAATATCAAGGCTTCACAAACCATTGTAAGAATTACATGAAAAACTAATTAAAATATGGATTATTTTAATCCATAGAGATTCTGCCTGTAGAGATTCTGATTGCCTTGATCTCAGTACCCCCAAGTGAGCATTTTAAACATACTTTCAGGTGGCAGTAACATAGCCTGAAAATACAGACAATAAGACACATATAAAACTAAGGCTTAGAGATAGATATAATTGTGTCAGTCCTATATTTGGTAATGCAGTGCAAGTACAAAATGAGAAAGAGTCCAAGGACTAAATAAGGAAGTACAAAATTTAATACAATAAAACTAGGTTTCAGCTAAGATTTTTTATCATGTCACTCTTGAGGGAACAGATTAGCATTCAGCACATCCCAATCTGATGTAGACACAAATTCCCTTTGTCATCAGTTGTGCTGGACTAATCATCCAAAGGGCAAATTTTTATTAAAGCTGTCTATGGTACATTTAAAAGAACTCCCCAAAGGCTTGTACCAAAGATGGTGAAAATTAGTCTTGGACAAACAGATCTTGATATTCAAAAACCTTGGCGCAGTTTCTGAGTACCTCAATCAGTACCACACAGTTCAACTGAAGACTTTTCCTACTTCAATTCTTATATTCACTTAATTTACTGGTTTTCCTGGACACTGTAGCACTGTAGTACTGTCCTCCTGTTGTTCATCGATTTGCTTGAGTGGGCCCAATTATGTCTCCATTGTGATACTTCTTGTTACTGTGTTTGGCATATCGAATACGTCACAGGTAGCTTGCCAGGCTTTGCGGTGTGGGAGAGAAACTCTTCGTAGTTTGCAGGGCTCTCCAAGAGAAGCACTTTAGAATATTTTTATCTAATAAGACTTGAACAATGAGGATCTTTCCAAACACCCAGATACCCCATGATGAATCTGAAGCATCCAGGAAAGACACTGATCTAACCTATAACCAGAAGGACCCACTTGATGTATACACAGGCATTTGACCTTCAATTTATTATTTCATCACAAATTGTTTACTTACAGGATATTCAAAATTGTCAACTAACATTTTTCCATAAGAATATGGCATATGTAATGTAGAAATGAAAAAACCAAGATTACCCTTGACTCCAGAGTATAGGGAGAACAAGCACAGAAAAGTAAGGAAATAGAGAGAGGAAGGGAAGAATTTGAGAAAGGGAAGTAATGGGTGAACACACTCAGGGCCTCAGGTTCACTGGTGATGTGTAAGAGTGACATAGCTATATATCCAAAGCATTGACTAAACAACACTGAAAATATAAGATGTAAATAACAACAACCAAACAGAAATGTGATGGGGGTAGAGGGAGCTTGGGGGAGGAAATTTGACACAGGTGGTGGGACTGGTGTTAGAACATTGTATGTCTAAAACTCATCTATCAACAATTTCAGTAATTTTGAAAGAAGAGTCATGACTCTTTAAATGAAAAATTAAATAGAAAAGAATATTACATATGTGGAGCATTTCATACATTATTTTTGTTTTCCTTAAAGGGAAAAATATAAAATTTAAGGTTTGAATTTCCCATACAGCAACCAAAAATTCACTCAAATTTTTACTGGCCTCTCCAGGTAGACCAGAGCGACAACTGGCCTCTTGCAGCAACTGACCACGGCAACAACTGGGCATTTGGTTCCTCAAAGCTTGGCTTTTGGCTGTGTTCCTTAGAAGTATGCTTCTCATATCATGCTAAGTCCTAGTTTCTGCATAGTACTTTGGATGACATTGCCGTCCATTCTTCAAATGAAAAAAGCCTGCTTCCTGGAGACCTAAAAATACTCCTCAGTATTGAAGCACAGCCATGTTGATGAAAACCAAAGCCTATCTGCTAGACCAATTGCTTGAATGGAACAAGCCAAAAGCACAAGGTGAAAGAAAAGATTATGTGGAAACTAATCCATATTTGGATCTTCTTTAAATGTACAGAAAGAATAAAAACTTTTGTTCTTTGACCAGGAGAACTCCCAACTCCAACTGGTGTTCTTTATTGGGATATGTTTTAAGGGAATGATTTTGGCAGGATAGACTGAGATTTTAAAAAATAATCCATTTTTACAATTAAGATAAGAAAAAACTAGATTGGGATAATTGAACACTTTCTATTTTAGTTCTGAAAATAGCCTTTAAAATATCATTCAAGAAAACAAAAGTAAATGTTCTCAAACAAAGGGGTAGATTTAATCTTAGACTATGTGTGAGTGAGATTATCTCTTTCTTATCAGTGTCATTACATATGGCCTAAAGTGGCACAAGATAAATTCTACCACGGAGAAGCTGATCTGAGACTATAGATGCCAATAATAGCAAAAAGCACTGAATTCATCATTAATATCATTAAGAATTCCAGTGATTAAAGCAAAATTTAAAAATAGCTTCACAATGTTAAAAAATATAAGTGGTAAAAAAGAAAGGAAGGACTCAATTATCTTTGAACAAAGGAAAAAATCTACAGCTAGAAGTTGTCAGATCAGCCTCATTTACAATTTTTGGGCAGGAAATTTTATTCTTAATAAGTAAACTGCGAAACAGTTTCTGACACTTCTGATAGCAATCTGCTTTCTTTGACTTCTCCTTCATTCATGTGTTAGATGCGAGCAAGATAAGATAGTTCCCTCCTTCTCTTAAAAATTTCTCTCTTCACAACTTTGCTCCCCCTCCCTCATTCCTTCCCTCCCTCCCTTTCTTCCTTCCTTCCTTCCTTCCTTCCTTCCTTCCTTCCTTCCTTCCTTCCTCCCTTCCTCCCTCCCTTTATTCCTCCCTTCATCCCTTCCATCCTTCCTTTCTCCCTTCCTCCCTCCCTTCATTCCTCCCTTCATCCCTTCCATCCTTCCTTTCTCCCTTCCTTTCTCCCTTCCTTCCTTCCTCCCTCCGTCCTTCCCTTCCTCCTACCCTTCCTTCCTTCCTTCCTTCCTTCCTCCCTCCCTTCTTCCCTTCTTCACTTCCATCCTCCCTCCCTCCCTTCTTCCATCCCTTCTTCCCTTCCTCCTTTCTTTCCTTCCTCCCTTCCTCCCTTCCTTTATCCTTCCCTTCTTCCCTCACTTCTTCCCTTCCTTCCTTCCTTCCTTCCTTCCTCCCTCCCTCCCTCCCTCCCTCCCTCCTTCCTTCCTCCCTCCCTCCCCCTCCCTCCCTCCCTCCCTCCCTCCCTCCCTCCCTCCCTCCCTCCTTCCTTCCTTCCTTCCTTCCTTCCTTCCTTCCTTCCTTCCTTCCTTACTTCCTTTCTTCCTTCCTGTCTTCCTTCATCCACACCCAGCTAGTGCATGGGTGGAACTGGAGTCAACTACTTGCAGTCAAGTCCTTAAACCCATATGCTATCTAATCCCTGTTTGCATTCTTATACCAAATTCATTATTTCATTCAAGGACCATATCAGATATCATTTTTACATAGATTTTTCTTTCTCTCATCCAGACACTATCTTCATTATGAAATTTTTACTTCAGTGTGATAATTTCGAGGCAACTGAGAGAATAGGGTAGCAAAGAACTAGGAGCATCATTGCTAAGTGTTGCAATTTATTAGCTCACATCTTACTAGTTGATCTTAAAGAGTGACAGCAATTCTAGAATGAATAGAAACT